TGCCACCACCATGGAGATGGTCCCCATGTCCCCAAGAGGCCACCATGGTGGGGATGGGGATGTCCCCAAGATGCCACCACCGTGGAGATGGTCCCCGTGTCCCCAGGAGGCCATCATGATGAGGATGAAGATGTCCCCAAAGTGCCACCACCATGAAGATGGTGATGGTCCTCATCCCTCATCCCTCCAGTCCCCATGTCCCCAAGGTGCCACCACCATGGAGATGGTCCTTGTGTCACCAAGAGGCCACCATGGTGGGGATGGGGATGTCCCCAAGATGCCACCACCATGGAGATGGTCCCCACGTCCCTAAGATGCCACCACGGTGGGGATGGGGATGTCCCCAAGATGCCACCACCACCATGGTGATGGTCCTCACCCCACCGCGCCCCCAGGGTGCCATCGTGGCGGTGACGGGCGACGGGGTGAACGACTCGCCGGCGCTGAAGAAGGCCGACATCGGGGTGGCCATGGGCATCGCCGGCTCCGACGCCGCCAAGAACGCGGCCGACATGATCCTCCTGGACGACAACTTCGCCTCCATCGTCACCGGCGTGGAGCAAGGTGGGCGCTGGGGACAACCCGGGGTGGGTGCCACGTGGTGACGTCACCCCGGTGACGTCATCCATGCCCTGCCCAGGCCGCTTGATCTTCGACAACCTGAAGAAGTCCATCGCCTACACGTTGACCAAGAACATCCCCGAGTTGACCCCGTACCTCATCTACATCACGGCCAGCGTCCCCCTGCCCTTGGGCTGCATCACCATCCTCTTCATCGAGCTCTGCACCGACATCGTGAGTCCACCCGGCACCTCAGTCCCACCACCGCCAGGTCCAGCAACCAGTTCATCAACTGGTCGTTGAGGTTCCTCACCCAGGAACTTGGGTTCCTCATGTGGGCCTTGATGTTCTTCATAAGAACGTTGATGTTCTTCATAAGAACGTTGATGTTCCTCATGTGGACGTAGACATTCCTCATGTGGAGGCTGACGTTCTTCGTGTGGATGTTGACGTTCTTCATAAAAACGTTGATGTTCTTCATAAGAACGTTGATGTTCTTCATGTGGGTGTTGGTGTTCCTCATGTGAACGTTGACGTTCTTCATGTGGACGTTGATGTTCTTCATAAAAACGTTAATGTTCTTCATAAGAACGTTGACGTTCCGCATGTGGACGTTGACATTCCTCATGTGGACGTTGATGTTCTTCATCCAGGCATCTGGGTGCCTCACCCAGACGCTGAGGTCCTTCTCAGATGTCCAGGGTCCACAACCTGGGCACCTGGGTCCCCGCCACACCCATGTCCATCAACCAGTTCATCAACTGGTCGTTGAGGTTCCTCACCCAGGAACTTGGGTTCTCCATATGGACGTTGGGGTTCTCCATATGGATGTTGAGGTTCTCTATACGGATGTTGAGGTTCTCCATACGGACGTTGAGGTTCTCCCTATGGACGTTGGAGTTCTCCATATGGATGTTGAAGTTCTCCATATGGACGTTGAGGTTCTCCATATGGATGTTGAGGTTCTCCATATGAACCTTGGAGTTCTTCATATGGATGTTGAGGTTCTCCATATGGATGTTGGGTTTTTCGATACGGATGTTGAGGTTCTCCATACGGATGTTGAGGTTCTCCATATGGATGTTGGGGTTCCCCATATGGACGTTGCGGTTGTCCATACGGACATTGGGGTTCTCCATATGGACATTGAGGTTCTCCATACGGACATTGGGGTTCTCCATACGGACATTGGGGTTCTCCATATGGACGTTGAGGTTCTCCATATGGACGTTGGGGTTCTCCATACGGACATTGGGGTTCTCCATATGGACGTTGAGGTTCTCCATACAGACATTGAGGTTGTCCATACAGACATTGGGGTTCTCCATATGGACGTTGAGATTCTCCATATGGACGTTGAGGTTCTCCATACGGACGTTGGGGTTCTCCATCCGGTATGGGTGTCCCTCACCCGGCTCCCTGTGTCCGCAGTTCCCCTCGGTCTCCTTGGCCTACGAGCGAGCAGAGAGTGACATCATGCACCTGAAACCCCGCAACCCTCGACGCGACCGATTGGTCAACGAG